GGGATAAATAGTAAAAAGCCCTTTTTCAGTTGGTTTTGGAGTAGTGAAACTGCTGATTGTCTCACTTACTCTAAGGAAGTCAGTCTTTAGTTCACATTTCTCAGAGGTTTTCCTCCAGTGCTCACACCTGCTGATTATCCTCCTTAGCCTGTTGATACAAGATGGAGTACAACCGTGAATGTGTAGTTGTTTCTCCCTGTTTTCCCCTTAATTCCATGTTTTGGCAGAGAATTATTACAGCCCGCATTTTGTTCTTTATAACAATTTTACTGTGTCCTTATTTCAAAAAAGGAAAACCATTACCACCACAATAAATCACTAAATACATATCTGTGACTTCACTGGCTGCAGGAGGAGAGATGCAGTAAGAAAGCTAGATAAATTGATAGGAAGAATAGCAGACCAAGCTCTGGAGGATATGAGGGCAGGATATGACCATCTTCAGTATTCTGCATTGAAAGAGTACTCCTTGTGAATTTTGCAGCTGAAGGGAATAAAGGAATTAATTTCAGCCATCTCTTTTTAATTTATTTTAATATATCATCAAGTGTAGCGGGTGCTTAGAGGAGCCACCAAGGCAGTATCTGAACTATATAATTGTAGAAAGGATTTGTTCCATATTTGTTTTCCTGGATAGTGTGTGCCATTTGTACACTGGGAACACCCAAGTCACTTTGTCAGTGACGCAGGCTCTCAGCGTTCTAGGCAATGTTTAGGTGCAAAATCTCTGTGTATATAGTGTTCATAATTTAAGGGTTTGGAAGAAACAAATACTGAATGCTACCACTTACGTGCTCATTGTATATGCTCTCCAATTGCTGTTAAAGCTGAAAATAGTTGCCCTCTCCTCTTTCGTCAATTCAAAGTCTGAATGGGTGACTGAGTGAATTGTGCATGCATATGTGCATGCATGCGAGAGAAGAAATGCATGTGTTGGGTGAACAGTTATCTGCTATTAATAACAGATTGATGCTATTACTAATAACAGAACAAGTAAGGTATTTCAAGAAGTTACGGTTGTAATTTGTGTACCACAGCTTAATCCCCTGTCAGGATACAAGAGATCTACAGCATCCTCATGTGTACCCAGAAATAATCATAGGGTGTTAACATGCTGGTATCTACTTTGTTCTCCCTTTTTCTATCTCCTCATTCAACTGTAATCAGATCTTTATAATCCCTGAAAACTATTCGCCTGCAGTCACTTTGCAGCTTACCTGGTTATTTGCAGGCTTGTGCTTCAGTCCCGGCTTGTTCAGGATTCTTTCAATCTACTTGTCGGAGTTTCCCTTTGTTCAGTGTCGACGACGGAGCGGGAGTTGCGATTCCGGAGTAATGACAGATCTCAATATGAGTATGGTCATTCTCCTTTATTTACACTTATAACAGGGCTTATATAGTTAACTACTATGGACACGCGCTACCTGCAGCTTGCAGATAGGTTACAGCCTTGTGTTCACGCGCATCTATGCTCTAGCAGATTGGCCCGTTCTTTCTGATCATGCGAAATGCCTTCATGGTCTTTATCTTGTTTTTCTCCTTCCAGCTGCACATTCCTTTCTCCGTTGTTTTCTGCTTAAGTGCCTTGTTATGCCAGGTGGTGCAGTGTTTGCTCATTAAAATCAAACTCAGGAATGTCCGTTAGTGAGATTCCCATCCCCACATAAGGGTGAATTATTTCTAGCTCGGTGGGCCCATGACACCTCAGATCACCAAGGAAGAGATGCAACATAC